TAAACAAAATCAGAAATGAAAAAGGAGGCATTACAACCGATACTACAGAAATATAAAAGCACCTATATGCTAACAAACTGGAAAACCATGAGGAAATGGATAAATTTCCTGGAAACATACAACTACCAAGATTGAATCAAGAAGAAATGGAAAACCTGCACAGAACAATAATGAGTAGTGAGACTGAATCAGTAATAGTAAGTCTCCCAACACGGAAAAGCCCAGGACCAGCTGGACTTACTGCCAAATTCTACAAAACATGTAAAGAAGAAATAATACCAGTGCTCTTCAAATTATTCCAAAAAATTGAAGAGGAAGAAATTCTCCTTAACTCATTCTGTAAGGCCAGAATTACCCTGTTATCAAAACCAGACAAGGACACAACAAAAAAAGAAAACTACAGGCCAATATTCCTGATGAACATAAATGCTAAAATCCTCAACAAAATACTAGCCAACTGAATCCAACAGCACATCAGAAAGATAACACAACCACGATCAAGTTGGATCTATCCCAGAGATGGAAGGATGGTTCAACATGTACAAATCAATGAACATGACCTATCACATCAACAGAATGAAGGACAGAAAACATGATCATCTCAATAGACGCAGAAAATGCACTTGACAAAATTCACACCCCTTCACAAGAAAAACTCAACAAACTAAGCATAGAAAGAACACACCTCGAAATAATAAAGGCCATGTGTGACAAGCCCACAACTAACATACTGAATGGGGAAAAGTTGAAAGCCTGTCCTCTAAGATCTGAAACAAGACAAGGACGCTCACTTTCACCACTCCTATTCAACATAGTACTGGGAGTCCTAGCCAGAGCAATTGGAAAGAAAAAAGAAATAAAAAGAATCCAGGTGGAAAAGAGGAAGTCAAATTGTTCCTCTTTGCACACTATATGATCTTATCTCTAGAAATAAGATATAAGTCAAAAGACTCCACCAAAAAGCTCTTAGAACTAATAAAAAAAATTCAGTAAAGTTGCAGGACACAAAATCAATGTACAAAAATCGGTAGTGTTTCTATACTCTTATAATGAAATAGCCAAAAAAAGGAATCAAGAAGG